TCTCTCTATCTATCTATCTATCTATCTATCTATCATCCCTATATCTTATCATCTATCATCCATCAAGCATCCATTATCAAACACTTTTTCTATTTCATTTTTATTTCTTCCTCTCCCTCTCTCCCTCCCTCTCTCCCTCCCTCTCTCTCTCTCCCCCTCTCTCTCTCTCATGGGCCTTTCGTTTCGCTCATCCTCCTAAATCCTTTCCTTGAAAGATCAAAGGCGCGAGATTGTTTTAATTTGGCGTGATGAACTGAGCAATTGCGCAATTCCGGTAGGCGAAGAATCCTTTAATAAGGGAGATGCCGGTCGCCTAATAATGCCAGGCTGATTTTACCGGGTTTGGCATGGCTAGAGAGAAAGGGGTGGGAGCAAAAGGACAGTGGGGTGAGCCCAGGCGCCTGGCGGCTTGAGAGGAACGAGATGGCATCCCGTTTCTTCATCCCGTGACACCATCTCCTGCAAATAAGGAAGGTCTGGGGAAATGAGAGGGAAACAGCCAGGAAAATTAGGTGGGATTCTCCTAGACTTATTTGTCTAATCCTCCATCCAAGTCAATTTTTTCTTGTTTGGTTCATCAAGAAGAATTCTGGGTTTTGCTTGAGAGATTGGAAGGGGAGAAAGGAAAGAAGGAGAGGGGGAAGGAGGGAGGACAGAGGGAGGAGGGATGGAGAAATGGGAAGGAAGGAAGGAGAGAGGGGTGGCTGGATGGAGGAAGAGGGTAGTTCGGAGGGAGAAAGGGGGGAGGGAAAGACAGAAAAGGACAGAGAAGAAGGAAGGAGAGAGAGGAAGGTGGTTGGGAGGGAGAAAGGGAGGACAGAGAGAGGGAGAAAGGGAAGGAAGGACAGAAGGAGGAAGGAAAGAAGGGATGAGGAGAAGCAGGAAGGAAAGAGAGAAGAAGGGATGGCGGACAGAGAGTGGTTGGGAGGGAGAAAGGGAAGGAAGGACAGAGAAGGAGGGAAGGAAATCTGAAATTTACGGCATACAGAGAAACCATCCTGCCAAGAACAGTGTTTTATAGGTTAGCTGGCACGGCAAGGGTCTGCCATTAAACAAAATCTTGGCAGAGAGGAATGCCTACCCTCCGTTTCATTCCTCCAGCAAGAGGTGATTTAAGCATTCTAACCTCAAGCGAGAGGAGAGAGAGAGAGAGAGGGAGGGAGGGAGAGGGAGAAGGAGGGAGAGAGAGGGATGTNGCCGCTGGTGGCGAAGAGCCGGGGGGCCTCGTTCCAGTGGGACTGCATCATGGCCTGGAACTGGCTGACCATCTCAGCCTGCTGAGCCTCCAGGCGCCGGTACCTGGCCTTGCACTCCCGCAGAGCTCTCTGCTTGGAAAGCCTATGCTGGTTGTCCTCAGTGAGGTGCGTCTGCTGAGCCTCCTTCTCGGCCAGAACCAATTTGAGCTGAGCTGTTTTGCCAACTATTTCTCATGGTGGCTGCTTAGCTCCAGCAACTGCTTCCTATTGGGGCCCTAAGGAGCCCAGGCAGGCAGGTGAGGAGTGGCAGGGAGGGGTGGGGCGAGTAGAGGCTGGTGAGGCGCCCCTCAGTGTGAGTGACACCCACCTAGCCACGCCCACCCATCCGGTCATTAGGCAGATCATATTAGTGGTCCGCTGAATTTAAAATTATGAATTTAGTGCACTACTGAATCCTCTCCATTCTCATCCCACAGTAGCTGATCTACCTGCTGTGGCATTTTGAGTCAGGGTCCAGTGGAAACCCTCGCAACCCCTCGGGGTCAATTTTCAATCAGTGCCTCTCATCTCTCGTCGGTAAAAGCTCAACTTACCCAGGCCCGAAATGTCAACAGCTGGTGGAGAAGAGCAATTTACAGCCTTAATCTCAACAGCAGCGGAGTGTTGTCTGAGACAAGCAGGCGAGACCCAACCTGACCCCTTGCCAGCTAAGAATGTCCACAGCTGAGCCCACCTCCCCGAATCCCTCCGCAGTATTGGGGTGAAAAGTTGAGCTGTAAACCTCTAGTGAGCAATCGGCGCTTATTTTAAAGTTATTGGGGTACCCACGTAGCTTCCCTCCCCCCCCCCCATCGCCAGGCACAAAATAAATTGAAGTAATACCGTAGGAGATAGGAAGTATTTAATTATTTACTTGGGCATTACAGACTGAAATTGCTTTTTGATTTAATGCATCCAAAGGCAGGCCCATGTTTTTCAGAGCAGAGAGAGAGAGAAAGAAAAAGAAAGAAAAAACCAGTAGCATCTCCCCAAATTATTCTCGGTGGCATAAATGCCTCCGCGAAGTGCCTTTTTTTGGGGGGGGGGGATTTTGTCCATTTCGTGGAAATAGTTTACATTTAAAATGTGGCCCTGTTAAATATTCTAGAAGGCTTAACAGCACGCCAGACCTTAAAGGATAAAAGAGAACAGCGCCTTCAAAAAACAAATAAATTTGTCTTGCTGGCATAAATGTTGTATAAAGATGATTTGTTTCCTTTAATTATATAGTCGATTGTCAGGGAAGGGAGAGAAAGAGAGAGAGTGGGGGGGTGAAAGAAGGGGGAATATATAACCAACGTGCTCAGCTCTACCCCAGCAGCCAAGTTTTAAATTTGCAGTTTGGAAAGAAAGTCAATTAAAAGAAGCTATAGGGTTAGGCAGAAAGGCGTTTCAATAAATAACTCCAACCCTCCAACTAATAACAATTTATATTACCTTGAGCTACGGGGTGTTTTTTTTTCCAAAGAAGAGAAATCAAATTAACTTTTCATCTTTTCTCCTGCTTTGTTTACCTTTCCCTCTCGTTTGGCTTCATAAACATTTCATGCCTAATGAGGCTCCTCTTGTTTTAACCAAATTTGGATTTTCAAACAGCCCTCCGAAGAGGGAAAAAGCAGTCCAACTAGACCAAACGGGTTCTTCTTGGTTTGGTTAGCACGATTGAAAGGTTTGGATTGGCTCACGCTCGGTCTCGGTGCAGAGTTCACAGGGCTCCAACCACATTTATTTACCCACCGTTCTGGAGCCGTGGAAAACCATGGTTTGCTTCAGCATGCAGAAAAAGTGGACACAACCCCGGGTTGTATAAACAGAGGCATAGAATCAAAATCACATGAAGAGTATTTAGTACCGCTTTATAAAGCCTTAGTAAGGCGACGCCTCAAATGCTGCATCTGGTTTTGGCCGTCACAAAAAAATATGTTGAGACTTTGTNATTGTTTTTCCTGCAGTTCTGATTCTCCTCTGAAGTCTCTGTCTGTCTTGTTGGGTTGCAAAGCCAAACCAGACAGTTATGAAGGTGCAGATGAGAGACTCAATCGTTCCTCTGTAAAGAATCCACAGCTTTTTGGGCAGTTTGAGCTTCCCGAGTTGGCACAGAAAGAACATTCTTTCTGGATGATGTTTTTTATGTTATTGATGCTATTAAAGCTGTTTACCTGCTTTATTTATGTTCTGTTTTGCAGAGGGGAAATCAAGCTTTATAAATTAGATTTCGGGAAACTCTTATGCAGGTAGATGGAGGTTGTTCTCCCCCCCCCCCTGCCTTGACTGTACATTATTGACATCCTGGCCCGAAACTGAATATCCCTGATTAACCAGAAGGCTGTTTATAGGGTTTAGGTTAATTGGATTTCTTAAATAATTCCTGGGGCTGAAAGGTAGCCTGGATGGAGTTTCAAAAAAAGAGCAGAATGCTGCCTAGATATATAAACAGGAGGAAACCATTTTACATAATAATCCGATTAGCGGAGAGCAGGTATAAACGGCTACACTTGTGTGGTCGCTTACAAAATGAAATACGACGGCAGTGGACCTTTGACCCATAGACATTTCACTTACAGTTTCTAAGAAGACAGATAAATTTTTAGGGGGGGATCCGTGCAGGCAGTCCTCGAGGTACGACAGTCCGTTTAGTGACGGTTCACCCCCGTGCTGAAAAAAGGATGACTTGTGGCCATATTTCACACTTACAACCATTGCAGGGGCATCATCTTCTTTTAACGACCCCATAATCCCCTGCAAGATAGAGTCTGGGCAACTGAATGGAGCTAGCAAAGTGTTTTACTGGCCAGATGCCCTTCCTGACGCCAGTGCAGAGTTTTGCTTTGTTTTTTTCAGCAGATATATTCTCTTTGTGCCCAGAGAGAGAAATATCTGCCTCTACCTACGATCAACACGGTGGCTCAGTGATGAAGATGCTGAGCTTGTCGATCAGAAAGATTGGCAGTTCAGCGGTTCGAATCCCTAGCACTGCCTAACAGAGGGAGCTCCCGTTGCTTGTCCCAGTCTCTGCCAACCTAGCCGTTCGAAACCACGTAAAAAATGCAAGTAGAAAAATAGGAACCACCTTTGGTGGGAAGGTAACAGCGTTCTGTGCACCTTCGGTGTTGAGTCATGCCGGCCACATGACCACGGAGACGTCTTCGGACAGCGCTGGCTCTTCGGCTTTGAAACAGAGATGAGCACCACCCCCTAGAGTCAGGAACGACTAACACATATGACTAGCACAATGACTAGCAAGGGGAACCTTTACCTAGGATCAAACTCCCAGACTCCTAATTGTGAGACAAGAGTTCCACCTCTAGACCACCACACCACTCCTACAACTGTTGCAGCATCCCTCTGGGGTCAAATTCAGACACTTGGCACAACAGATTTATGACTGTTGCCAGGTCACACGATTCCCGCTTTACGGCCTTATGACAAGCAACAGGGAAGGCAGATCCCTTTAAGAACTGTGTCGCTAACTGCAACGGCGGCAGGGATCCGCTTAACAGCAGTGGCCAGAAAGGTGGTAAAACGCAGCAAAAGTCACTTGATGACCGTCTCCCTTAACAGCAGAAATGGTGGGCTCGGTTGCGGTCGTAAGTCAAGGACTTAAGCTGCATTCTCTAAGCCTTGATTTTGAATGCCATTCTGTCTTCTCCTCTTTTGTTTTTTTGTTGTTTTTCCATGTTTCCTGTATAATGTTATAATATCGCCCGTCCTCCAGATGTTTGTTGGAGAAATACTGAAGAATTTTTCTCTGGTTTTGTCTTTCAGGTGTCGGAAGGTTCCGAGAAGCTGTTCACCCCTCCAGCAACAAAAGGTAGGTGAAGACGGAAAAATTGCTTCTTGGGTGTTTGGTTAAACTTCTTCCTGTGATTCTGGAGACCCTCTTCCCACAGCTGGGAACTTGGAGGACTATCCTGGCCATCAACCTGCAAGGAATCCCCTTTATCTTATGGTTTCTGTCCACCCAGCTGTGTAGGCCAAACCGAGAGGTTGTCTCCCATCAGAAGACCAAAATCGCTTTTATTAACATTGGCTGTAATAGCAGAATCTTTGAAATCCCTCCCACCCATCTTATACTCATGTGAATTGGGGGGGGGGGTGTCTGCTTCGGTATTTGCTCATGCCTTCTTCATGTTTTGGACTTCAACCATGTACATTTTGCCTTGTCCCTCTAGAACAGATGTGGTCTATCTTCTTTCCTTTCTGCATTTTCAGTTGTTTTGTCTAGAATGCTTCACTTGTTTTGGAGATTCTTATGTATGATAAAGTGAATTATTTCCTCCCTTCCTTCTTTCCTTCCTTCCATCCGTCCATCTCTTTTCTCCTTCCTCTCTTCTCCTCATCCTTCCTTCTTTCCTTCCATCCATCTCTTTTCTCCTTTCTCTCCTTCCTTCCATCTCTCCATCCATCTCTTTTCTCCTTTCTCTTCCTCTCTTCTCCTCATCTCTCCTTCCTTCCATCCCTTTTCTTCTCTTCTTATCTCTACTTCCTTCCATCCATTCATCTCTTTTCTCTTCCTCTCCTCTTCTAATCTCTCCTTCCTTCCTTACTTCTTGCCATCTATCTCTTTTCTCCTTCCTCTCTTCTCATCTCTCCTTCCTTCAATCCCTCCATCTTTTTTCTCTTCCTCTCCTCTTCTTATCTCTCCTTCCTTCCATCCATCCATTCATCCATCTCTTTTCTCTTTCTCTTCTCTTCTAATCTCTCCTTCCTTCCATCCATCCACCTCTTTTCTCCTCTACTCCCTCCCTAAAATAGGTTATTTTTCCTACCTTCCTTCCATTTCTTTTCTCTTCCTCTCCTCCCTTCCTTCCATCCATCCCTTTTCTCCTCTTCTCTCTCCCTAAAATAGATTGTTTTACCCTTCCTTCCTTCCTTCCTTCCTTCCTTCCTTCCTTCCTTCCTTCCTTCCTTCCTTCCAGCAGCACTTATATTAAGATTGAATCTTGATGATTTTTCTTCACATTTCTTTTCTGGCTAATTTTCTTTTTTTGTAAACCCTTCTTTCGTTGGCTAAGGCACCCGTAACATTTCCTAAGATTGGTGATTAGTTGTTGTCTTTATGGGGGATGAAAAGCTGCACAGGAATTGTTTATTTTGGTTTCCACTCTGGTCAGTCCTTTTCTTCACCTGTTTTACATCTGGGGGACTGCTGGACTCTTGAACAGCTGGTTTTCATCCATCTTGTGAGTCACAGAACAGTGTTTCGAAAACACTTAGGAATCTCTCTCTTCTTGAGCATAGAAGTTTGTGTCCTTGACTCTTGGTACTTTCATCCATCAGCCATTGTTTGAGCATTCCCTGGCCTTTGGCACATGATGGTTTCAGTCTGCCCTGGCATGCTGTTGCATTTCCACGCAGCTGTGCCTTCAGATGGACTGTATATACTTCATTAGACCATCGTATAGTTCATTAAGCTTGTTATCCATCCTGATCACCACAAGAGAACAATTGGTAAGAGGCCCGGAGACCAAAACATATGAAGAACAGTTGCAGGATTTGGTTTTGGCTGATCTGGAGAAAAGAAGGAGCAATGGGGGAACATGATAGCAGGATTCCAATATCTCAGGGGCTGCCACAAGGAGGAGGGGGGGCAAATTATTCTCCAAAGCACATGAAGGCAAGGCAAGAAACAACGGTTGGAAATGAATCAAGGAGAGAAGCAACCTAGAACTAAGGAGAAATGTCCTATCAGTTGAGGACAATTAACCAGTGGAACAGCTTACCACCAAAAGTTGTGGGTCCTTCATCACTGGAAGTTTTTAAGAAGAGACTGGACAGCCACCTGTCTAGAATGGTATAGGATCTAATGCTTGAGCAGGGGGCTGGACTAGAAGACCTCCAAGGTCCCTTCCAAATCTATTATTCTCTCACTCTGAATGACATAGTGTCTCCTGCTTGAGCAGGGGGTTGGACTAGATGACCTCCAAGGTCCCTTCCAAATCTATTCTGAATTGAATCCAATTCCGCTGACCCTCATCTCCCACTTAGCAACATAAATTTGGGATTCAATTGTGGCCATAAATTGAGGACTGTCTCTAGGATGCAACCTAAAAGGCCTTCCTTCTGATGAGATCCTTCAGCAGAATGGGATCCATTCTATAAGCCCCTTACCCCAGGATTTGCAGAATACAGAATAACAAGAGTTGGAAGTGACTTTAGAGGTCATCTAGTCCAACCCCCTGCTCAAGCAGGAGGCCCNTAAAGAAATGTGAAGAATGGTTGCAGGAACTGGATATGTCTAGTTTAATGAAAAGAAGGACTAGGAGAGACATGATAGCAATGTTCCAATATCTCAGGGGTTGCCACAAAGAAGAGGGAGTCAGACTATTCTCCAAGGCACCTGAGGGTAGAAGAAGCAGCAATGGGTGGAAACTAAGGAGAGAAACAACTTAGAACTGAGGAGAAATTTCCTGACAGAACAATTAATTAGTGGAGCAACTTGCCTCCTGAATTTGCGAATGCTCCAACTCTGGAAGTTTTTAAGAAGATGTTGGACAACCATTTGTCTGAAGTGGTGTAGAGTTTCCTGCCTAAGCAGGGGGTTGGACTAGAAGACCTCCAAAGTCCCTTCCAACTCTGTTATTCTAAATGCCAGGACAATTCTTGGGAATTCAGTTCAAGTAATATTTGGAGGGGGGTAATTAAATGCTGTCAACTTTTTGCCCTTGCTGCTGTTTCTATGTAGCTTGCTACTTCTTATAAGTTACTGTTCTATATTGAAGACTGAAGGCAAGTATATTGGGTGGTTTTGCATAATTCATTAAAAGTTAAGGCTGTTTCATAGAACACTTGTATTTTGGAATATAGGAGATGGAAAATACACAGGTAGTTATTAAAATGGGCTATATATAAAATAAAGCATGACTTTGGCTTAAAATTGTATGAATTCAACTGTCCCTGAGATTCACTCAGATCATTGTTTGGTTATGAGTGGACTTGATTAAAACTGTTTCTGGAATTAGATTTATTGATAAAATAACAATGAAGCTTGGAACATACAAGAGATTTAAAATCCAAATGGGACCATTGTTTTAAACATTTTAAAGAAGATACATAAATTTAAAAAAACAAGAAAAGGGGATAAAAGAGTAAAATGTAAGTGAATAAATGAAGGATTTTAGCATGTTATGAACCTTACAATTCTCCAGTATATTGTTCATTTTGAGTAGCTATAGTATATTGTAAAAGATTTAAACTTGCTGTTAAGTTTAAGATAAGCATGACTCTCAAGAAACATGACCAACAATGTAATTCACCAAATAAGATTATAGTTAATCCAAATTACTAAAATTATACAAATTATAAGTAAAATATTTTGCGTGTAGGCATATTATATTAAGTTGTAACCTAAATGTCAGGGTTCCAAGTAACATCCCCAACGAAAGAAGACTCTTGAGGCCAAGAATTCCTCAAAGTTCCATTTTTTTTAGAGATGTCATATTGACACATCTGGGAAAACCTAAATCTGAGTGTTCTGGGTTTTCCCCGCCCAAAAGAAAGTCAAAGGTCTATTCCCTACACCCACAAATCCATCACATGGTCCAATCAATGCATCGTCCAAACTAGAAACAACCCCCAGTCACTCCCATCCAGGTGCAGGCTGAATGTCCTTGACTCCCAGAGAAAGGAATGTTGTTATGGCTAATCCTCCACCGACTCTTAGTTATCCCCCCTGCCAGGGGTGGGTTTCAACCGGTTCGTGGCGGTCCCTGCGAACCGGTTGGTCGCCGAACCCGGAAGTAAGTAACTTCCGGGAACNTTCCACCTTACCAGATACAGCCTGTGGTGCCTTAAAATGGCTTCTACTATACTGCCGTAAAAATGGCTTCTACTGTACAGCGCAGTGGAGTTGCCATAGTAACAGCTTCACAGTATCCACAAGGGGGCTCCCTCTGGTAAGGTGGAAAATCCAACAATAGAAATTACCTTTGATCTGGACATTTTACCCCTATAAATAAATACCCGGGCAACGCTGGGTTATCAACTAGTTAAGGACTATGAATTAAGGGGGTCATCAAGAGAGTAGGTTGGAAGAAGTGTTTTTCAGAAGAACACTATGTACATTCCCAAGGCTGTACAGAACAATTAACCAGTGGAACAACTTGCCTCCAGACGTTGTGGGTGCTCCAACACTGGAGGCTTTTTAGTAAGAGATTGGACAACCATCTGTCTGAAGTGGTATAGAGTCTCCTCCTGGAGCACGGGGTTGGACTGGAAGACCTCCAAGGTCCCTTGCAAATCTGTCATTTTGTTATAACAGAGGACAGAACCTGCATCTCCTCCCAAAGGAGCACATGCAAAAGCATCCTTAAAAGGACGAAAGGACTATTCAGAGACAATTGTGGTTTAATCAAGTTGCCCTCTGTTTTTTGGTAAGCTTCTCGGCTTTCATATCTGCCGTTTGTTGGGGAAGGAAGAAGAAGTGGATTTGCTACAGTGGAATTGTTTTGTTCATTCTACAGACTTTTCAGTCTGCCAATTATTTATCATCCCAGGCAGGGCCAAAGCATCAGAGGACTGGGTTGGAAGCGAAGGCTAGAATCATGAGGTCCAGATTGTTAATTAGCATTTGTTAGCTGTCAACAACCTTCTTGCCTTATCCTTCAACTCCTCTCTTCTTTCTAGCTCTCTCCTTCTTTCTCCTTATCGTTACTAGGCTGTCTTTGACTTGGCCATTCCCCCCTCCTCCGTCCCCCCTCTCCCCTTCATTTGTAAACAATCCCCAACCCCCCAGAGAGATTTCTTCCTCGGCTAGCAGAGATAAAAGTCCCCTCTCCCCACCGCCTTTTTGTGATTAATCAGTCCTCGGGC